TCTTTTCACTATGAAATGGAAATCACCTTATTCACGTTGAAAGCATTTGTTTATAATGCATTTTCATGGAGCTTAAATGGACATTGTAGCTTTCTCTTAAGAATTATTGCGGCTGTATAATGCTCTACTTTTTAAGCACTCTTATGACTGATGTAATTGACTTTACATGTGGCCTGTAAGCTTTTATATGAACAATGTGAATAGGAAGCAGTTAAGTGCCTTGGTGGTCGAATAGGTAAGGCGCTTGGCTCAAATTTGGGATGGTAACTCGAAGGTCGTCGGTTCGAATCCAGCCATTTCCAAATTTGTTCTTTTTCGGAAGTTTAGATACTTCGACTGCTTAATGTACGAGATCAAGCCATAATTGGGCATTTGGGCAACGTTGGATTAAGGAACTGGTCAGGAACTTGAAGTGTAGCGGGAGAAATAGGAACGAGAGCTACAAGATTACCCACGAATGGAATATTGATAGAACGGACCTGAAAAGTATCACGTAACGCCTACAGAAGATCGAAACGAGAGCCTTAGTTTATTTGAAACCTAGATATGAAGATTAGAAGTTTGATCCTACATAATACTAATTCATATGTATACAAATACAAAAGTGTAAAATGTGAATTATTTCCGGACAGTATGTCGTCAATAAATGCAATAAAGTGCAATTAAAATGAAAAAAAAAAAAAATATGGATTTTGTGGGTTGACTGATTTTTAATTAAATTGGGATTCTGGAGGTAAAAGCGTAGCTAGCTGGGAGGTAGATGGGGAGGCATCTCAAGCAATGTTGTTTTTGGGTCGTTCATAAATGATGCTCGATTATTTAAGAAGAAATTTAAGGCTGCTTGACAATTACATGTAAAAGAAAAAATGTGAGGGGTTGATAGATGTCATTTATGAACGGCTCTTTATAAAATAATGGCTATGACAATAACTGTAACTTAAAATTTTACATCAATCACGTTAATTAGCTATTTAATTTATTTGATTTTGAATAGCAGTTTAAATTGGCGTAGAATATTTTATCACATACCCGAAAAGCACAAGTCGGAAAATCAATCAGAAAGCAGGCATCAATCTGGTGTGACTCTCGCATGGTCTCGGTTTCGATTTTAATATTTTTGCTTGTGCTATTCGGGATAGGAGCTGCCAATTTATATTTCATCAAAGACATCAATCAGATGACAATTTGACAAGGAAATTTAATAAATCTTGCCTTTTATTCAAAAATAAATTGTATGTAGGAGTTCAAAGAGATAAATCTCTCTTTTATTAGATTCCGTATCATATTTCATATTCTTACCCACTCCAATCATCTCAAATTTTTATTTATAAATTTATATTCCAAAAGTATGCACCTTAATCACACAGATTTTTTTGTTGTTGCTAATCTCCTTTTTCTATCAGTATCGAGACATTTTCCACTTGACCTCCTACCACTCACTAATAATAGATATATAACTTATGGTATTAATGAAACTTTTATCCCCTCCATTCTATTTGATCCCCTAGTTTTTTTTTTGTTGCTGCGAATTGCCATTTCAACTTATATTGTTATTTTTATGAGATTAAATAAATTGTGTACGATACATACCTAAAATAGTTTCAACATAGCTTAACGACTTTTATCCAATTGTTAATGCAATAACGCGCTGGGTGGTCAAAATTGCTTCTTTTTGTTGTTACTGCTGAACAAATGTTATATTTTGCTGTGCGAGGGGAGAATTTCATGATTCGTTCAATTAACTTTTTTGTCTATTGATTATATATTTTATCCCTTGCGGGAGTTCATTTGGCGATGTGAAAAAAATGTTAAGCTGAACCGAACTGATAATTAGAAAAATAAACTCAAAATCTTTTAAAAAAATTCGACAAAAAATCTTAACCTCTAAAAATCTCCCAAAATAATCGCAAGGGTAATCAAATTTACGAAAATCTCACGATTCTCCTAAATGACATTACATAATCTTATATTCTATTACACACCATCCACATAATGACCAATCCATAACACCCGTTAAAGAATGATTATGATGGAACGAGAAATCTGTGCTAACGTACGAAATGGATGATAATAATAATGACACATCAAGGTGGTATATAATATACATAATGTATAAAGTGTGTAACCTTATGATTTCACATCCACAGCCACCTATTAAGTATGTTTTATTAACAGCTATTATTCAAAAGTCCTTAAGAGCTTCGTGTGTCTTTCATCATGTACATATATAGAGCTGGTGAATTGAGAGGTTGGAAATTGTTCACTGATTTGGTTTTTTTGGTTCTATAAAGATTGTTGTAATAACTCGATGGCACAGTAGTTTCGTTGAAGAACATTTACTTAATACACACTGACACAGCGAATTTGGATTAAAAAATAATGTGGTCAAGGCTTACAGCCTTGCTTTGTAGGCTACAGACTATTCAGATGTCAAATAAGTGGTTCAGATCCTACTTTAAACCAAAGGTTCGAGTGCATCGACGCAAATCCTCACTCGTTAAAATTGCACCAACCTCGATTTTACATTGCTTAGCTTAGGGTCCTGCTATTTTGTGTAGACTAGCAATTTTAAGTAGTCTAATGGGACTGGGGTTTATTAATCTCCTTTAGCCCTTTTAGTAAATCACGAACATGGTTAATAGGTTCATCAGATCCTTACTCTTTGAACCCAATTGTTTATCAGATTCAAAAAACAACAAAAATTAAAATAAAAATGATTTCCACCCCTTGCTTTCAATACCCACAGCCCTAAATTCTCTTACAAATGAAAAGCGAAAGAAACATATCATCACACGAAATCACTCCACAGTCATGCTTTACAGACAGAGCAAGAGACACACACATGAGTTAAAAAGAAAGAAAAAAAGTACGACGAAAGTCTCAAAATGAATGAATGAATGAATGAGAGAACAACATAAAATGAGAATGGGAAACGACATTAAATTGAGGTCGTTTTTTATAATACAAGAAAGCTCATTTCTTTTTATTATCAGTAGAAAGCACAAGTGCAAAACAGGCATCAGCAGTAATATACATTGAATGTTGAGTATGTGCGAGTATATACAGTTCAGGCACACATGAAAAATAAATATTTTTTAGCGTATTTTTTATGAAGAAAGAAACGTTTATTTTGGCAGCTGGGACATGAGAATAGATTGCATGAATATCCGATAACCGTGTGATGTTTTAGATTGTTTTAAAATTCATCATAACAGACATATGCTTCATGCAGAGTTACGTACTTTTTAAAAATTGATCTTTTTTGGTTGCCTTTTAAAATAATCTAAGGTCTTGCTGTTATCCACCTAGCAACAATGGTTGGAATGAATTTTGTTGCACAGTTGGAAATGCCTTGTTTGTAGGAAAAGTGCTTCAAGCAGTTTTTGGTTTGTATTCACAGAAAAGAAAAATACTGAATTTCTTCATTCCTTGCTTTTGGGTATTTTTTATTTAAATACATTAGGCTTGGTATTTGCTGCTGACATGAGATGATTCATTGAGTTATAAAAATAAGCAAACCTGAATTTTAATGATTTTGATGAGATCATAAAGTATGTAGCATGATTCAGAACTTATTGGATATTTAGAAAATGAGGGCAAAGGCATTCGAGTAGAGGGTTAGGGGTATAATAGACTAAGACTTTCCTAGCTTGTTTGCAAAGTAGGGTTAAAATAATTCCCGAATGCCTGTTTTGCATCATCATATTCACTATACCTTAAATAAACTATAGCTAAATGCACTTTATCCATCCAAACTTAACCTCATTTTCAACTTTTGTTTCTTCTATCTTCTTTTCCATAACACAATAGAAAGTCGAGGCAGGCGAAAGAAATGAAAGACGACGAAAGGAAGACTAAAAGTGAATAAATGATTGTGCAATAATTTATGTGGACTTTACATTTTCAACATAAATACAACTAGCTGTAAAAGCAGTGCTGATAACATCAACAGTTGGAAGCATCAGTTAAAGGAACAGCACATGAGTGTAATATAATGCTTTGCATAATACAATAAAGAGTTCGAGTGAGAACGGATGAGTGGATGTTGAGCATATCCGCATGAATTTTCCTTTTTACAAGTAATTGTAATGAACTAGATTTTGACGTGTTAAAAAAAAGTACTAGAAAATTTGAAATAATCTTAAAAGCTTGTTGGCAAGGATATATACAAAATAAGCCAGAAAAAAGAAACTCTTTTCACATCTACTTACTTTGAATGTACACACGTCACATTTAGTGTTCAGTACTTTAGCTCTATGGAATAAAAAAACGAGTGTATGTGTGTGCATATATATCTTGAACAGGCAGTAAAAATTGTTGTAAGTGACGTACATAATGAAAATAAAATGGAAGTGATTTATAATGGAAAAAAAGAGCAGCAGAGTAGCATCAAAAGCAGAAGCAGCAAAAAATAAAATAAAAAGTAGAGACTAAAAAAATATTCAGCAAACGCAAGTCCAATGAAAAATAAAAGGAAAATAAAAATGAATGTGTAGTGAGTGTGCGACTTTTTGTGTGTTATGCGCAAATGAAATGAATACGCTTTATGAATAAGAAAAGCGGAAAATTGTGTTACAAGACAGTCATTTATATAGACAATTTATTCATTCTATGTAGAACTACGTACGATTTCATATGATAATAAACTAGCATTACGTAAAGTATGATGATGATGGGAAACTTTTTTGTGAATTGATTTTTTTTTTTCTTTACATTGAGGGGGTCTTGTACTATTTAGATCCATTTTTAAAACTTATGAAAATAAAAATTTAAATTTAACTTTTTTCAAAAAATTCAATTTTTTTTCTTCAAAAGTTTTCAAAACATTTTTTAAAATTTATCCAAGGAAATGTAATGATCAATATGGAATTTTTTTCATTTTCATTTTCAAATTTAGAGACCTATAATTAAATTCACCAAACCATAAATTCTGCAGGCAACACCAAAAAAATGTAAAAACAGACCTACAATTAACATTATAAAGCTATCAATCCAGTGAAAATTACAGACACAATGTATAAACTACTAAGTGGAAATAGTGATTAATGAAAATGACTTAAAAAGTTGCATGCAGATGCAATTTTTAACCAACATGAAGGATTATTTTATAAATGATGAATAAAAAATATTGTGAGTTATTTAACACACTAGTTGGATAGAATATGTGATAATCTGCATAACAATACAAGTAGTGAGCTACAGACTTTGAGCATATACGAGAATAAATAGACGGATATAAGAATATAAAGCAAACTTCTATTGAATAAGCTTCATAATTTTCTTCCATTATTATGATAATCAAAGGCAGTGAATCGAATTCACATTACCTGCTCATAAAATGCTTGCTGGTTATTATGCTCATAGAGTATTCAAATGGAGGAAGTGGTAAATGACTTTAACATCCAATTTTTATATTTATATATCCTTTTTATATTTTTTACTTTCTCTTCTTCTCTCTTACAATTTTTGCGAATTGCACATTTGAACAAAAAAAACTATTGTTTAAGATTCTTTGACTACTCATTGTTCTTTAGTTGCTGAATAGCTAGGTTCTATTTAGAATAACTTTATTGTTAATTTTTAATTGTAGAGTTCAGGCTTTTGATTTTTTTGTCAAACAACGGGTTAAGTTATATGCCTGGTGTTATTATGGAAATAGGACAAACTGAGTTCTTTGCAAGAGCCTTATTTTACACCTCAACTAATGTCTTTGAACTCGGGATTAATCCCTATCAAGTTATCAATAAAATGTCACAATATCTCGCTTACTTTCATGTGAACTTACATAAAACTTTCCGAGAATTTTCTTTTTCAAAACGTTTCGTGCATTGGAAGTTGCTTTGTTATAAACGTCTTCACATCAATCACGGGAAACATTTTCATATAAAATCAAATAAAAGTTTCCTAGAATTTTTTATTATGTTTATTATGTATTCACAGTTTGATATGAATTTCGTTCTGTACTTTTATGATTTTGTACATTTAAATAATTATTAATAAAAGCAAGTTTTTCAAAAACCTTTTAAAGTTAAAAGTAAAATATTGTTTAAAATTTCCAAGAGCTCACCATATTCATATTTATTTATTGTTGATATTAAAATAACAAACTTCAACAGACAACCAGTAAACTTAATAATTTAATGAAATAATGTTTATTGTACAATCATATTGTACTGTGTTGATCTTTAATTTAATTAATTAATATTTCATCAATTTTAATTACCAGACATGATTGGAAATAACTGTATGAAAAAAACCAAAAAAATATTTGCACTTGGTTTTCAATTAAAGTTTTGTTTAACACTTAATTATATTGATGTGAGTGAAAACAATGAAAGAAAACGAGTTTACGTGATGAAAATGTTTGAAAAATTGAAAGTTAAGTTAAATTGATTTTATTAATATTAATTTTAAGAAGTTTTAAATGTTCTAGCTTAATTTGTGAGGTGAAAATCTTTTGTAGACGAATCGAATTTGAAGTTTTAAGAAATATTACAAAGCATAATTACAAATCTGTTTAAATTAAGATCAATTATTCTATCAACCAAATCGAATTCTAAGATTTTTAGACTATTTATAGGCATTTAACCTCATTCATCATAAACAATAAATTATTTTCATTTCAATTATTTCATCTAAATCATTCTGAAATGAGACTTGTTTTACGTAATTCAAGCAATATTAAATTTTATGCATTCATATAATTTTATATACAATATTAAAGAATTAAATATTGAATTATGAATTTATCAATAATGAATACGAAATAAATCTCACAAATCCCAATTGAATATATAAATCTGAATATGAAGCATTAATAAATTAAATTAAAAGCATCATGTTGATTCATGAATGAAAGCGTCATATCAAGAAACAATAAAGTTCCAAGAGATCTTTTAGGGCCTGATCATTAATGACGTTCTGGAAGGTCTGGATTTTTCTGACGGTTCAAATAAAAAAGAGTTTTCAAGTTAGGCACAAAAAATCACATTTTTAATGGACGTCATGTATAAACAACCCTTTTGGTATGGGAGGGAATGGGTTGATCTGGGATTCCTTAAAAATCCTATCTAGAAGAGGTTTTTAATAAAGGTTTTTTGTGTAACATAATAAATGAACAATCCCTAACCTTAAAGCCTCATAAGATGCTTAGATCTTAATTAATAATTTGTGCTGAAGAAATCAATTTTTACGCTTGACTAGAGCCTATGCGAACAGCATTAATCCAGAAAAGGGGAGAAGCACAAAAGTTGTCAATAATTATTATTATTATTTTTTATTTTTTGCTCACTTTTTCTTCCATCCGTAATGATGATAAAATAATTAAAAAACTCAGATGTGCAATGAAGTAAAACGTTGAAAAAAAAGGGAAAGAAGAAGAGGAAGAAAGAAATGGGAGATGAAACTTTTCATCCAATATTAATGCTTAATCAATCATTTTTTTTTCTCTTCTCTTTTCTTTGTTGCTCCATTTTGACATTATTAAATCAACCATTATGCTTATTACCACAAAATAAAAAAATAACTCTGCTACACCAGGCTTCTTAATTATCCCAAAAAGGGTCGAGCAAAATCAGACGCGCATATTTGATAGAGATAAATTAACATCAACATCGTCCAGTGGAAATTTTTCAGTGCCAAATTCCATAAGTGATTCTAGTAAAAATTTAAATTCATTAAAAAATGTTAAGCATACGATTAGTGGTAGTAGTTTAAGTGATGGAATTAAATCAAATAATTTAACAAGTAATAATAACAACAATAATAATAGCACTAGTCAAAATCAATCAATTAATGACACAAGTATTGAAACGTCCTTTAGTACGTCGAATTTTACAAATATCACTGCACAAGTGGGATCAATTGTCGAGCTCCCGTGTACAGTACACAATCCTGGAGACGGAACGGTGAGTTGACATTTTAATTTATTTATTAGGAAATTTTGTTGGTTAAAAAGTTTGTCGTTTAGTTTTTTGTTCGTTTTTATTATTATTCAGCATCTTGTGATGTCTGATTTGAGTGAAATTTAGGGTATCGAGCGATATGTAGGCGAATCTGCCAGTACGTGAGTAAGGCCTCTGTTGCCGAAAAGACTGGATATCTGACACCCTCTGATATGAGGCGTAGGTTCAATTCCGACCAGAGACAGATATCTCAAATCATTACATAGTGTGCTGTCGGTATGGCAAGGATGCTCATGACATTACACCTCTAATCGATTGTTTTCTGTATTAACCTGATTCAAAACAGTTTCCTTAAATTTTATGGCACCAAACTGGTGGCTCTATCTTTCAAAATCTTCACGTAGTGATCCATTTTAACCTTAAACTGACTTATTTTGAGTGCAGTGCACTCAAAGTCCACCCGATTACAAAACTGACTTTTTTTAAACTGTCTGGCAAAGTCAGATCCAGGTGGTTTATGTAATGATGTGTATTCAGGTCAACTGTTCAAATGTCTCGTCTATATCAAATATAACTTACGTCTATAAGTACCACGGATGATATCTGGTCAGTTCTAAGAGAATCTGAGACATCAGAAATTCATAGGATGTGCTTTTAATTTTTTAATCCTTATAATTAAAGAAGCACAGTTTTCTGACGCTACAAAAAGATTCCAATTTTATGCATATGCTCACAACTAAGTTCATCGCCTAATAAGAAAAAATTATCACGTAATATACTGAGATGAGCTTATTACATCCAATAAAAGTTTCTATCCCCCCTGACGTCAGCAAAATTTATTACATTTAACCTACTTTAACATTCCAATCATCTCACCTTCCGCTCTTATGCAAGAGGACTACAATCTATCATGCCACATAATAAACTTTTTTTTAAAACTGTTTAAATTATGCCTAAAGCCAATGTTGATGATGATGAAAATGTTGTAGAATAACGTTGACGATGGATAATTGGAGTGAATGGGATGGAGATAGTGGACGAAAAATGTAAAATGCACTGAGGGGGATTGTGGTTGGTAAAGAAGTTCAACAAGTTGTATTTGAAATTTTTTTTACATCTTTCTATACACACACAGACTTACTGCATAATATACAACATAGAAGGTTGTTATAGCATCCATTTCAGGCCAGCACTCTTAAATTCTGGTGTGTAAAAAAGGAATGGGATGAAGTGGATTTATGACCATTTGCCCAATGGACTTGAGCATTATTTATTGATATCAGGAATTTACACAAACGACCTAAGAAACTTTTGAGTGAACTATAATATATATTATGGCTTTTTTCATGCTGCTGCCATTGGTCTTCCTCAACAAGAACAAAAAAAAAGGAAAACGTCTACAGTAAACATTCAGAGGCGACCAGAAGTCATTAGAAATTGAATGTGATTAGAGAGGAAATATTGATTTCAATTGAAATGAAATGGAAAACGTTCGAAGAAAATCAATTTCCGGGGATGAAAATCGTTGGCGGATAAATGATATTTTCTTCTGCTTCATTGTTGTGTTTCTGTGTGTTTGTGATTTAAGGCTTTTGTGTGTCTGATTCGTTGCTATATTTTTGTGGGAAGGAAATTTAAGACGAAAGGAAAACAGCAAAAAAGAGAACATCTGAATGATTTCTGTGATATATAAAATAAATATTTAACAGAGGGTGGATGAATGAAGAATTAACATAGAGTCGGTGATGGTTTTTTTTTTGTTTGGGCAATTTAAGTGATGACTTTTTAATGGTTTGGTGAATGCTTTAAGTTTTGGTCTTTTCGGATGATTTAAGTGTAATAAAAGGGTTTGTTATTTGTGTGCTTATGGTCAGCTTTTGGTTGAAATTGAGTGACATATATGAAGAGTTTAGATATGAACCTAGCTAGGTCCAATTCTGAACATGTGAAAAACAGAGCATCAGCCTGTTTCTAAGTATTCAGCAATTAAGTATACACATTTCAGTTCACTAATTAGCTTGTGCGAAAAAACGCAAAACTCCAAAAAGTAAATAAGCTACGCAAATTTGTAGCAGAATTTCCAAGAAAGCTTATTCAAAATATTTCCACATCCAATTATTTGTGCCTTCGCCCACAACAATTTTTTTTTTGCCTTTACAAACAATCCATGAATTCCAATATAGATACTCGGTTCTATTCAATTTTTTCAGTGGGATTTTGTTTACAATTTTGTTCAATATAAAGTTTAGAAATGTCCAATTCATGAATTTTTGTTTGACTTTTACCGAACGGTACATTGTAGCAAATCTCATTTTGTACCTTCTTTGTTGTTAACATACTTGATCGATGCATAATGAAATTGATTGAATTGTTGTAATCAGAAAGTATTTTTAGAATCAAGGCACAGCTGCTTGGAAATTGGGGCCTCTTGAATACCAATTGTGAACGACTATCAAGCAGCTATCCAATAATTAAATGTTTTCCCATCGGGAAGGTGGTCTTCTAGTATCTCTGTTTTGCTGCTCGGATTCTTTTGTGCAAAACAATTTGAGAAATATTCAAATAATGAACGAATGATTTTTTTTTGTCAATTTAAAGCTTCATAATAGCTTGTGGCTAATCAAAAACATTGTCCCAATCTGAATATTAGTAAAATGTATATTTTGTAATTTGAGGGATGCCGTAACAAAAATTGAAAACTGATTTACTTTATCATACATATAAATGAAGAATGAATATATTCATACATCTACTCGATTCAATGCTCAAATGATGCAAATTTATACTGAAATTCAATTACGATTTATACTCTCTCTCAAAATACCAATGTTATTTCTCATATTATATTTACCTTTTTTCACCTGAAAGAATTTCATTGTTACGATAACAAGATGATACATTTTAAAAAATAGGGTGTCATCTGTCTCGTTGAGAAAATCCGGAAAAGGATATCATCAGTTCTTGAGAAAATTATGGGAAACTCAAAGGAACAATGGAATGAGAAGGAAAAAAAACAATTTTTCATGGAATTTAAATTTCTCTTGATTTACTTGGAAAGGCTTAATATTTTCTATCAACGAAATTCTCAGTAGGATCGGTTTGGAAAACAGAATTATGAAGTTAGATCAATTCTCAGAATATTGCTTGATATTAGCCTTAAGTATCCAGAAAGGATGGAATATTGCATCCGTAGCAACTGAGTTAGATTCCAAATTAAAAGACTGGTTCTTTCTCAGGTTTTTTCATGTCAGAATGACTTCACAAATAGCTTCCTTTTAAAACATAATCCGTGCCTGTATACCCTACCAGCAACATCTTACACAACATATACATTTCTTATAAAATATTTATAATCTTTTTCTTCTAATTTCCCAGAATGTAAATAAAGTCATTCAATATTATTGGAATTGTCACACGAGAATTTATTGAACCGATTGAATATCGTTCCTTCCTCTCTGTAGATTGTTTACTTGACAAATGACGTTAAAGTTCAAAGCAATAAACGAATTATGGATGAATAAAAAATATACAAAAATCGATTTTTGCGGATTTCTTTTTCTTTTGCCGGCAATTTTTTTGTTGCGTTTATGTTATTTTGTTAAATTGAGCTGGCTTTTATGAGCAAGAGACTTGAATAATGATCCATTATAGATAAATTTATGAGCTTAAATGATTATACAGTGGGTGCCAGAAATATTACGCGAATGTGTGCTTAAAAGGTTTTTTAAAAGTATGTCCACCATTTTGTTTTTTCACAAACGCAAAATAAAGATTTAAGGATTAATTTAATCGAATATTTTGGTTGATTGTAACATGCTCACAAACAATCAATGACTTAAAGCTAATAAAATAGAATTTAGACATAAAAGGAAGCTTATATTCAACAACAAAATCTCGAAGTGAGACATCAAATTTTTCCATTGAGCAAAACAGATTTTAATATCCAGTTTATAGCCACAATCTCACCGCCGTTGAATGAATCCTAACAAAGATTTTTCATTCAAATCCTCATTGAATGAACGAAAATAGACGAAAATTTTATGCCAATTAATCATACGGATTTGGAGCAGAAAGGGACTGAATATAATAATCAGTATATGAAATGTAGACTCAAGGTTATTCAACTCACAATGACAATTGCTGGGGAAAATTTTGTTACATAAATTATGAAATGAATGTGATGAAAAACAGAAAAGTTTTAATGAAAACTTCTTCATGCTTGGAGCTTTTTTATTAAGCTTTTCACAAAGTTTATGACTGCCTTCTGTCTCATATTTTGAAGCAGTAGAGCTGCTTGTGATGATTATAATGGAAATATTTTGTAGAAGTAAATTTAAATGGTTCTTTTATGTGGGTGTTTAGTCAGAGAATATTCTAAAAATATTATTAATAACATGTTTAAGTTGATGTTTAGTAATGTCGTTTCTATGGTGTCTGTATTTTGGTACCTAAACTGTATCTTGGGAATGATAACAAAAAAGTAATTTTTGAGTAAGTAGAAAGTTTTAGGAACTGATATCATGTTACTCGATTTGAATTCTAGAAATTGGGGGTGATTCGTAAATAATGTCTTTCATAGAGTTGAAATGTCTTACTTTCGGGGGTCGTTCATAAGATTTTAAAGCTCTTTTACAAAATGTTTTGCCCTAGCTACAAAATGTTATCTGTCGGTTCTAATTCAAGAAGAAGTTAAGAGAGAGTAAAAGTTAAATTTAATTTATTTTCAATTTTTTTCTTTCATCACTTCCACTGATTAAAATTCATATATTGTGCATGCCTACATGATATGAAATTTATTTCAATCTACACACGACATTGAATGTTTTTTTTTTGTTTGTGAAAGAGGAAAGAATCTCGTACAAAAAAAAGCCCATCAAAGATTTACATTATGTTTTTTTTTTTGCTCCATCCAACACTCAATAAATGACTCGTCATTTTAATCCAGCTTCTTCATTCCATTCATAATGGGATAAAGTGAGTGAAATCTGCCCTAAATCTCACAAAAAGTGTTTTTATTTTTAGGACAAAAAAAAATAATTCTTTATACAATTTAAATCTCTTATAAAAGTCACAAGTTCACTTGCTGCCTGTACAGATTCTCTTCATTTCCTTCAAGAATTCCTCTCTCCCCTTTCTCCATGACATGACTACTTTTTGTTATTGTGTGACACATTCATGAATAAATTTTATATAAAACTCACTATGTCCTCAATTTTATCACAATCATTAGAGTCATGCTGACATATAGACGCTGAGGGATGTAAAAAGGGCATGAACGACCATACATCAAAGCCTAAATCAAGTGACTGTAAATTTTTATTAAAATCGATTGGTTGAGCAAAACTTGATGGAGCCTTTTTTTGTGAGAATAGAAAAAAGGTACCGGAAATTAAGGTAGATGTAGATTTGAACTGGTTTGGAAATAGTTTTGTTGTGAAGCTGTTCTATGCTTTGAGGCGCTTTTTTGGTCATTTTAAAACGTTTGATGTGGAATAGCAGGGGTTAAGTTGCTCAAAATCCTAGGTGTGGCTTCCTTTAAAAACCATATTCTTTGGATTATTGACTAAATGGTTTAGAATGAACATTATCATGGTCGTACTATAGATATGAATTTATTACAATGCTGATTAGATTCGCATCAAAGAATTCTAGCTTCAATTAAGATACATCCATAGTCCAGTCATAGCAAAGTTGCAAACTAAGTGATCGAATTCAAAAATTCATTCCAATTGTCCTTCAATCTATCAATTTTCGTCTACTTTAAAGTCTATGAAGCATAGCAAACAAAAAAATCAGGAAATTGAGAAAGAAATCGTGAAAAGCTTTTTAAGTATTTATGTATTGTCAATAGAAATGATTATCCAACATCAAAACTAAATTTGTACTCACAAGAAAAAAAACTAAATGACACAAAAAAAAGAGACAAAATCAATGAATTAATGAATTCCTCTCGTCTGCCAACAATGTCCCTCCTATTTTTCTATTTTATTTTTATGGCTCATCTTTTTTATGATCTACCCATTATATGTCACAATGTTGTATAACAAAAAAAAAGAGAGCAGCTGAGAATCAACACACAAAAAATGGATATACATATTTATACTATATTATCCCAACTTATCATCTCTATTTCTCTTTCTCTATTCCATATCTGCTTAAAGACCATCTCATGGATTCGAAGAAAGGACTATCACCTATTGACAGTTGGGTTAACAACATACAGCAGTGATGAAAGGTTTAGTGCTTTGCATTTAGAAGATTCTGAGGTAATTTTAATTTCCTATCAGGTATTCTCATTTTAATAATATCAATAATAATAAGAATAAAATTATCAACAGCTTTAGTATATTTATGGGAAGGTAGCAACAAAATTATCCAAAATTCGGTTTCGTACAATAAAATTACAATTTTTTTTATCATCTCATTTTTTGGGGAGCTATTTTTAAGGGTTATAAGTATGTCACTTTGGGTGAACGTATGAAGCCCAAATTCTGAAGACGTCTCTGGCTTAAATTTGCTTAGCTACTCGGTTGGCTGGATCAACTCATGTCTATATCAGTTCTATAGCCTTAATAATTGAGATCTGGACTGTCCTAGGTACAAATGCTTAGAGTATGTTCGCTTATGAAGCTCATTAATAATTGGAAACTACCCCCTTCCAGTACCCAATAATAAAATTGCCTTAAAAGGCTTATTTTGTTGAAAATTTCAAAAAGTTGAAGACACCACCCAGAAAAAATTGACATCAAAACTAAGCCCCCTCTACTTCACTGCTTGAAAGAATTAAATTTAAAACTATAAGGATTGTAAATCCAAAGAAAACCGTTAAAATTGAATCAATTTTAATCAAATAAAATTTTTCCATCAAATTAACTCGTCAAATCATACAAAATGCTTTCAATTCGTCCAATTAAGCACTAACTTGTATATTAATTTCACCAAAAAAAAAGGAAAATGATCCCAAACACCTTTCCTTTTTCCGTTCACATCTAAAAAAGGGTTTAAATAAGGGTGCAAGAACGCTAATAATTTATCTCATACCTCCTCCTTCTTTATGACGCATTAAGAAGATTTCTTCAGGATTTTCAATTTCCTTTTTTTTTTCTATTCGATACAGATGAAAATTCCATTCTTTTTTTTAAAAGGTAGCCTTACCTCGAAGAAGACTTACCAAACTTTTTTGTTCTCACTCGATGATACTTCATGAACACTTTTGTTTTACTTTGAGCATTAGCGGGGCTTTTGTTGATTTTGGATAGAATTTTAAATGTACAAAAAATGTTTTAAGTACCTTTTGAGATTGAAATTTGAGAGCTTAAACTTGGATAATTAATTGTGTACCTTTTTTACTATAAATCATTTCGTTTTAATCTTTTATTTGACTTAAACCGCAATCAAAAGTATACTTAAAATTGTTATTCGGTCAACAAACTTATTTCATGACGGTTTATTGAACTTTGGAAAAGAAAGGATTTAATATTTATGTATTCTGTCTATAGACAGTAAGTTTATCATTATAGCATTTCAGACTATGTTGTGAAATGTTTATTAAATGGACCCTAGCGACACAAACGACAAAGCTCTCACACAGATTTGTCAAGACTCTATTGCTATATGATTTATTAATATCTTATGGAATCTTTTTCCACGAGGCTTAATAAATCATTTTGTGGTGAAGTCTTGACGAATCCGTATTAGAGATTTGGTCAGATCAATTGTGATCCATGGCCTCCCTTAGATGGAGCCTGAATTTAGCTCTATCGCAGGCTATCGTTTGCAAATTACCCATACCAAATGCAATACTGTCTCTGTCAACAGCTTCTTTCTAAGAGCTCTTGGGACGTCCGCGTGATCTTCTGCCATCTACAAAAACATATTATACTCAAATTATACTGTATAAAAAAGATAAATCGTCGGAAGGGCTTAAATTTTAAAACTGGAGGCACCGCGATTCAATTAGTTTAGAGTCTATAGGATCATACCTTTAAGAGCTACAGTTTATAGTGGAACCAAATCCAAGATCTGTCTATTCCAAACACATGAGTACGTCAATATCCCTGATGTACCTTGCAGCGTCAGTTTAAAAATTTGTTTCTCCTTGTTAAAAAATCTGTTTTGGATAATTTTGTTAAACTAAAGCTGTTGAGTTATGAATTCAGTTCTGTTATTGATTTAAAATTTTCTTTCTCGCAATTTTAATTAAAATAAGGTTTTAAGCTCTTTAATTATTTATTAGCAAAAGCGTGAAAGATTCTCGTTTCGTGAAATTCATCGACCCTTCAACTTTCTATCTGGTGAAATTGATGGGAAACTTATTTCATTCTAAAAGAAAATCTTTTAAGAACTGAGTAGAGAAAATAAAATAATTCAATTAATAATATTTGAAAAATCTATCATAAAAATAAATAGAAACGAGCTTAAATCTTTATTTTATGTATTAAAAAATCCAATTTATCGGAAATAACTTTTATATCACATCTCACCTGCATTCCATTAAAGGATTGGCCATTAAAAATAAAATATGTTCAGCTTAGAGATGCTGGATTATATGAGTGTGTGGTTAGTATCGTCCAATATGTGTCTGGATCTAATTTTTGTGTAAATTAAATTTTTGTAATTGAATTTTTTTTTATTTCTTTCAATTTCTACTCGACATGTAGGTGACGAAACATCCATCAATATCCATTTTTATACAGCTCAACGTTGTTGGTGAGTCACGAGATTCTTTTCTCGCTCAAATCCTTTTATTTTCTTCAGCACATGTTAACCTTTTTTACAGTTGACTAATTTGAATTTTTTCTTCATTCTTTTCATTTCCTTTCCTCTCGTGTATGACATCCGAACTTATAAAACGTATAACGCTGTCACCATCAAACGCATCTATTTACAGAGGCCCGTGCGGAAATCAGTGGACCGTCTGAAAAATATCTAAAACCCGGATCCGTGCTCCGATTGACATGCCGAGTAGTTGAAAATATCGAAAATCCATTATATATTTTCTGGTATCACAATAATCGAATGATAAATTACGATTCGCATCGTGGTGTTAACGTATCGACGGAATCAGGTATGTCATGCATTATGATTGACACTCGTTTGAGCTAAAAAATTTGAATGGCATTTTTTTGACTTAATTAACTTGAATGAATTTTCATTTGAATAGTTTTGATGCTGAATAGATTTTGAAATATTCATTTGATTTTCCATTGAGGTTTTTACATGCTTTAAAGGATGCAAAAACAAAAAAAAAACCTTTTCAGAATTAAATCAATTCAAAGCTTGTCGGAAATTTGCCTTAAATTCTCAATATTCCTTCTATTAACGCTTGAAATCTTTATTCTATCTATTCATACAGACAACAGATATTCAGAGCTGCAAATCTCACAGACAACAACCAGTCATTCTGGAAATTATTCATGTGTTACTAACAATGCCGTCTCATCTAGTACATTGGTGCATATTTTCAATGGTAAGTCCTGTCTATCGTCTGAATCCTTTTAATGAGAGAAAAATTCCATTTGAGAATTGTTGGAAAATGGAAGTGAGAATGAGGCAATGAAATTTAAAAACAATTTTTTATGCAAATGCTGGAATGGATTGAATGCTTTACAAAATGATAGAGCAGATTGAGGGAGAATGAAGGATTACATAGTTAAAAATTAATGCAGTCAAAAGGAATTTCAAAAGTTTCCAATTTTATCCGCAAAGCTTACAATGAGATATATTTTTTAAAGTGCTAATAGAATCTGTAAATCCATTTGTAGGTTTAGCGAAAATCACTTCAGTGATTTTGACGATTTTGCTTAAAAAAAATTCTTTTGATGTTGGACTTGAAAAAGAAAGATAAATCACAGAGATTTTAGAGCATTTTTAATGCCTTTGTAGAATGGTTTTTGGAAACTATTAGGTTCGATATCTATTCTTATCTATCGATATGATTACATTAGAAACTTGAGTATTAGAGCGTCAGGTTTAATCTCAAGTCAATGGTCAGAATTGAAGTCGTTAAAGGGTAGGCTAAATGACTCTAATGACCCAGGTTCGATCTTAGCAAATGTCTAGTCTAATTTAGATGCTGTTTAGCTATACCAACTCGGTTTGTGAATTCATAACTCACAAATTGCTGTTAGGGACATTGCACTGATTTATCCTGGCTCATACAACTATGCAAGGTTGGAAATTAACACGTGTAAAAACCCAAAATCATATAATTTGTTGGTTGTAAGCGCATCAAAAATTTTAAAAATTGGATTTTGAAGTAAGAACCATTAAACTAAGTTCCATGGTGCTTCTGCAGCTGGTTTCTATTAGAACTACTTACTGTATCTTAAACTTATTTACATCTTTGATTGCTGTTAAGCAATATCAGGTTCTTATTAATTCTAAAATTGCTTTGATAATTCATCCACAAATTCCACAACAAGATCTATTAAATGCAAGGATAAAAATTCTCACACTGTATTATGATTAATAATAAACGATTATCCTGCAACCCATGCTGTGTAAAATTAATTTCCAATCTATCAATAAACGAGCAATAATATCAAATTAATTGCATTAACTTTATTGCCTCACTCATCGGACCATATTTTTTGTGTACATGTCTGCTTATTGCTACTATCAACTTAATGTCAATTTTTTTCCATTGTTTCATTCTCTTCCTCAAACTAGGTGAAAATCCTGCTGAGTTATTGCGAGATTATGGAATAGCTATAAGCCCATCAACAACATTATTATCTTTATTGTTAACTATAGTGACATATCAAATCTTTTGTTTATGTTCTTTGTAAAAGATGTGGAACGTCCTGCCATATACAATATAATACCCATATACATCCTCATAGACATGAGTGCTCATCAAATTCGCATATGATAGGAACTGAAAAGCGAATTGAGTAAAACACAAAAAGGACGAAACGAGATGAAGACAAAACGATGGAGAATGTATTTTAGTATGGGAGATAGATAGATCTACTAAAAGTCCCCAATCATTAAATAATTTATTACTTTGTTTTGAGTGGCACATAAAAGGAATGGATTGTGTTAAATGGTCGGTAAAATTTTATTCGTGGCTAAAGCGCATTTTTTGTGGACAATCTAATTAGTTTTATAGTTTATTTTTGGATTTATGCCAGGATTAGTTGCTTTTTGGACCTCTTGCTTTTGTGGTTTCTGACTCGCGGTACCCCTAAACATAATAAGTGAACAGCCTCGAGTTGAAGAGTAAAATCATTTTCATACATTAATTCTGAAAGTTTGCCGGGCTATAGAGCATAACTAATCATTATTTCTAAATGATGTCAAACCTCATGAGGTTCTAACGAGCTGCTTCTATCTCCAAAGTCCTTCCTGCCCTAAATCCATGCAATACAACAAATAACAACTTCAATTCTCACCTACAAAAATTAATCTCGTCAGCCTCAAAACCACCCATTCCGCAAAGTTTCAAGCATCGCCTTTAAAAAAATCATCACCATAAAAGAAAGGAACGAAGAGGAAAAAGACGACATTGGCATCATTGAACACGACACTAAATTGTTATGTATGAGATACCCATTGTGAGGTGATGGAAAGATTGAAAGACTAAATGTACCGTTGTTGTGGTGCTTTCATGCTTTTTTGCCAATGATATAGACATTTATAGGCGATTATATTGAGTCTTACGTAAACGTAAATGTGCAATTTCCTGAAACAAAATGCTTTTGATATTTATTGTTTATGAAGCAGACATCAACGGCTAGTATAATACGATATGAGTACCTCTGAATTGGTTTCGGGTGATTATGTTGAAATTTTATGCCACTGCTGTTTTTGCGATGCTAATTTTTATGATTTATTGGAATTTTATGGTGTTGAACAGGAAATTTTTCTTTAAGGCTGCCTTAAAGCAGCTTTAATGACCAAGAAAATGTTTTTTTGGGGGTAGTTGAATGAATATAGCAAAATTTCTTATTCCTCAAAAGCTCAATATGACCATCATTAACCCATTTATTCATGAAAATATGTCCTTAACCCTCATAATGTAGTATACAGCAATAAGTACATGACAACCTAATATATTTAATTTTCCGACATACAATACAGTGAAAATATGCCATTAATCATATATAGCAAACAAAATATGATCATTGGCATAGAAACACAAGAAGATTGTCGCTCGAGCATCTAAAAGGCCACTACATGTTGCTCATTAAAAGCATATGTCAAGCCACAGACCAATACATGTTGCACACAATAAGCCAAATTTAATAGTCTAATTGAATTGAGAGAAAAACAATACAAATAAAGGAAGTGGATGCTTATTTTGGTGAGGCTGATAGCTTCAGCTGTTGAAAGAATTGATTCTTTTTTGTTCTATTTTAATTGACTGGGAAAGATTCAATAAGATAATTATTTTTTTGCTGTGGTATGCAATATAAATAAGGCAATTTTGATCAATTGATCAAGAATGTAGATTTTAGGAATAGAGACAGAAGCTGATTTCAAGGGCTATGAAGGTAAAAGGTTCAATTGTCGTCAAGATGAATCAAGCTTCCAATCTAGGCTTCAATTATATTCAGGCTCTCGTTTCAATCTTTTGTGGGCGTGACGTGATACATTTCAGGTCCGATCTGACAATATTCCATTTATAAGGTAATCTTGCAGCTCTCATTCCTTTTTCTCCCGCTAAACTTTAAGTTCCTGATCCATTCCTTAGCCAAACGTTGCCCAAATGCCCAATTATGGCTTGATCTCGTACATTAAGCAGTCGAAATATCTTAACTTCTGAAAAAGAACAAATTGGAAATGGCTGCATTTGAACTGACGATCTTCGAGTTAACATGCCAAAATTTGAGCCAAGCGCCTTACCTATTCGACTATGAAGACACTTAACTGCTAGTACACAAAATCCTTTCTTTAATGTGCCATTTCAAATACAAAAAGCTTTAATTTTTAGCCCCAACTACAAAAAAATATCAAAAATTAAAAACTTGAACCATAAAATTATAAAGAACATGACAAAGTGACGATGATAAAAATTATTTGCACAGAAACTACAGTTAAACATTAAACAAAAATTCATGTTTGTATCATAGTAGTAAATAATAATTCAGAGATTATTCATATACAATTTGTGAAGTTGAATATGTAGATCTTATGATTGAATATGATTCAATTTTAAACTTTTGATAAGCTTCTTAGATTTTGAACATATGGGAATGATTAGTGACTGATGTTTTGTTTGTGAAATTGTCAATGAAAGTTTTTCAATTTAAAAATTTATTTTGATCCCTTTTGTGTTGAAAACTGTCCCTAGCAGGTTCGTAATTTATAATTACTTTGTTTTCAATTAAATCCTAAGGGGCTGTTCACTTATTACGTAACGCGAAAAAATGACTTCTTAGACCCCCCCCCCCCCCTCGTAAAAAAATTTGTATGAAAAAAAAATTTCCTTGTTTGAACCGTAACAAAATCTTAGACCCCCCCTCCCCCTAAAAGCGTTACGTAATAAGTGAATGGCTCCTAACCTAATTATTTCAAAAAAAATTCTACTAAATCTATTATCACATTATAAAATCAAATTTTAATTTGAAAAGTTTTCTAAATATTAATTAGCTATTTTATTCTATTGCTATATAAAATTTGACAGATTGTAGCAAAAAGTTTTAAAAATTTTAATAATGAACAATAAATATTGTCAAAGTTATAATTAAAATAAAATTTATTTTCACAAAGGTAGCTTTATCGGAACTAACAGCCAAACCTTTTGAATTTTAAAACAATTTTTCTTTGGATCCGTTCATTTACGACGTCCGAGGGGGGGGGGGGGGGGGGGGGTCAGCAAGAGAAGAACTATAGAAATTCCTGTAAATTCATCGTTCTTTTTTGAAAAATGACCGTTAATTTCGGAAGTCATAAGTAAACGTCCATTACAAATGTGAGTAAGAAATTGAGACTAACCTGGAAAGCACAAGTCGGTTAATCGTTTAGAAATCCAACAACAAGCTAGCGTGACACATTCTTGCGTGAAGCCGAATTTAAATCGAATTCAGCTCCATGCCAGAGCCACGTCAGATTTCTGATCGATTAACCGACTTGCGTATTCCGGGTTAGTCTTTCATTATTGATAATTCCAAAAAAATTGGTTATTGATTCTCATATGACTCTACAATAAACAGCTTCATTCAGTTGTAAAAATCAACCATGTCACAAATTACAGAATAAAATCTAAGAAGAAACTTAAAAAAATATTCAACTTCACAAAAAAAAAGAGCAGAAAAATAAAACTTTACGATATGGAATAAAATAAAATTAATATTTTAACATCATAAAGTCCTTTTTTGTTACCAAAATTAAATTAATAAAAAAAAATGTAAAACCCTTAAAAACACAATTTTTTGTAAATAATATTTCGAGATATTAAGAAAAATTAGGTTATTGTAATAAAAAAAAATGGAAATAAGAAAAATTGGACAAAAAAATGTTTTGTTTTTAATTTCATTTTACTGAATTTTTTTGGATGGCAATTTAATCATGTTATCAATCACAAAGTTATACATAAAAGGATCACCAAATATTTATTCATCATTATTGACAGTAATTTATTGGTTTGAGAAAGGGATGGTAAGTTGAAGGACAATTTGTGAATATTGAAGATTATAAAATTATCAACTGTAAAGTGACCTGAAAGTGGTAAGCTAAAGATGCTCGATGGTGGAATGGTTTAGTACTTCGGTACCTAATTATAGCAAAATCGACACAGCTATCATAAGTCCGAGACTCGGCATAAGAAATTTTTCGCTTGCCCTTTTTCAAACCATATTAACTAGAAATGAAGCTCACAGCCTTATACCGAATAATTATTAAATGTAGTAATATATTTTACCTTTAATTTTTACTTCTACAATATAAAGTCACCCCTTTGCAATAAAACCATATCTTTAAAACACATCGAACATATTATGCTCCATCAATTGAATGCCATCGTCATCATCCTCATCATCATCAATATTTTCCCTCTAATTTCACATACACAATTATGTTTGGTATAATCGCATATATGTTAAATGGCATTTCTGTCGATCTAAGACGAGAATGAAAAGACGAAGGGGATCCTAGATGGATGGCAAAATTTATTATTTCACATCTTCATGACTGTGCGGTTGAAAAATATTTTTTTTGCTCTTGTTTGCTTTTCTCGCTCAACGAATTTTCCATTTTGCGATGAATATGAAAAGGTTGAGTAAGGAAGATAATTTGGTTGGTGAGTTTTGGCGCATATTTGAGAGTTTATTTGAAATTGCCAAGAACTCTTGGAAAGAAACTATTGACAGAGACAGTATTGCATTTGGTATTGATAATTGGCAAAAGGAACCCAGTGATAGAGCCTGATTCAGGCGTCATATAAGGGGGGCCATGGATCACAATTGATCTGTACGTCCAAAGAAGTGAGTAAGTGATTGAAATTAAGGATTTTAAGTGGACGTTAAGAGTATTTTGATATTCAAGGCTAAATTTGACAATTTATAAATTTTTAATCCCTTTAAATCGTGGTACACACAACGATAATCTCAAGCAGCCTTACTGTTTCCAAACTGTTGGTTTAAAGCAACACAATTGCTTGCGAATAGCGTTTAAGATTGAAGCTTTACTCAATTTTAGCTTGGAATTGCTTTAAGTAGCTAAATCTTCACTTAACCACATGACTTTAAGCACATGCTATGAATGAAGACAAAACTCAGCCAGAACATCCACTCATCAAAAAAGAGGTTAAAAAAATCTCTCCTCGTTACTTTCTTCGTCTCTTTTTTTGTTTCCTTCTTCTGATTCCACACAACCAGCTATGGCAAAGAAATTAAATACATATTTACTGTATAAAATCACTACCTATTTTGAAGCTGCTGCAAACACATAGAATAGAAGAGAAAGGAAGAAGCAAGTGGAAAATGAAAATTGTTGAAAATGTAGGAAAGTGGAAAATTGCGGTACATGTAACCCAAAATAATAAAGAAGAAGGAAAAATGTAATTTTTTCCGTTTACTTCCCTTTTTAAACATCCTCAATTCAAGCGAGAATTCAGAATTGTTTGAGTCGTTTCTGGCGAAAATTTACATTTTTTACAAAGAAATGAACCAACATTTTTCAACTGTTACTGGCTTTTTTGTTATCAGTAATTAGTTGTGCTAAACAACTTATAGCTGCAATACTGATTTCTTTTGGTTTCTGCAAAATTTTCTGTCTTTCAAGGTGTAATGTCGTGACAATTTTGCAAATCCCTGTCTTATCAAATGTCACAACAAGACTCTTTAGTTTTTATAACGAATATGAAGTCGGCCTTCAGTTAGGAATCAAACCTTAGGCTTCTAAAAAGGCACATTATGGTGCAGAAGTCTAATTCTGTTAACCTGTTGACGCTCTATTAAATAAAGTCTTCAAATCCGATTATGTAGGTGGAAAGAGATCACGTGGAAGGCCAAAGAACTCATGGAAAGAGGCTGTTGATAGAGACAGTGTTGCATTTGGAAGTGGCAATTGGCAGACGGTAGCCAGCGATAGAGCTAGTTTTAGGGGACGACTAAAGAAGGTCATGGATTACAACTGAGTAAGGAAGTAAGGAAATCTTATTCTAGAATTGGATGATCCACTTATTTTTTAATAGATTTCCCATGGTTTACAAAGAATCTGAGGCTTCATATCAAAAATGTGAACCTTTGTGCTTATAATTTGGCGTGTTCTGAAGTCATGTTTTGGTTGCCACGTCCCGTTTTTGTTGATCATTTCGATCAGTTCCCAATCATTAACTTCATCTCAGACATAAAACCAGATGTGCTTAAGTGTGACAAAATTTGAAATTTCTTGTGAGCTTTTTTGTTCCTCAAATTCAGAAGTTGGACAAACTATTGTAAATAACATCTATTCGTCATCAATACTTAATATTTAAGGTGACCATAATACAACTAAGGTAAAGTAGCACACACTAATGTAATGACTGTCCACATTTGATTCAAAAGAAGTTCCAAATGATTCACCACCCACGGTGCAATAAACATAAAATTTATCCATAACTCAACATAAAATTGCAGTCTCTTGGTGAGTTTTAAAATATTATGGCTAAAAGGAAAATCTTTAAATAAAATTGGAAGAAGAAGTTAAAATGAATTTAAGGCATAAAGAATTCTCAACAGAGAAAACATCCGTAATTTTCCCTAAAGATGCCCTGGGTGGAATGGCAAATATAACCAAGTAAGGAAAGAAGAAAGAAATGAAAAACGTGAGCAACAGAAGATGGAGAAGAAATGGAAAAAAATATGTATAAAATGTAAATTGTTCACATGATTTATTATTTCCTTTCCATTGCTTACCACCGTTGGCTTTTACCTCTACCTATGTATTGAATTGATAGCATATTCTGCTTTAGAAATTCAATATTATACATTTGTGTTGTACATGCCATAATGGCTTTCAAGAAGAACTTTATAAGTTGAGTTTTATGGAATTTTTTCGAGTTTTAATTCTTGGATTAGGTTCGTGACTTATATCTACCAATCATAAATTAGAAACCGTCTGACTGAGTTACTCGACACTGTTAAGGCACTCTGTGCCAGAGCCTTGTGGAAGTCGTGTATTCTTCATTTACGATGCTCTTTAAAAGCGTTATGTACCCGAGCAACACAAATGACAAAACCTCGACTTGTGAACGATAGTGAACTAAAATAACCATTAGCTTTTGAAATGTAGTCCTTTATGGTCAAACCAGTAAAATAAATTTAGATCCAAAATACATCAAATCGTCTTTAAATTCGTCCTTAACAAGCATCATCAAAATACCCAAAAATAAACACATTCAGTACCAAAAATAGAATAATATATTAGAAGCTGACTTGTTAATCAAAACCAAACATACCACATCCAGTTTGTAATGCTGTAAAAAGCCACAAATCATAACAAGGTTCGAGACAGTCTTGTTAAAGGAGTAAATAATGGCAAACAACACTTCAAAAGGTGTATACCGTACAAGAAGCTTCCCGATTTTACAAGAACATGCTCAAGAGTTCATTATTTCAGAAAATAGAAAAGAATGTATGGATGAAGATATTCTCTCTATTATCATCGTTTGCTGTTTGAGCGTGAAGAATAATTGAACTGAAAAAAAGAGGAATCTCAAAAAGTACTCAAGTTCTGTCGAGTGAATGAGAACGAGTTGAGAATGAAAAAGGTCAACTGACAAGATTGTGAATTGTTGTGGTTCGAGGTGAGATATCCTTCAATTGCAGATCAAACACTTTTTTACTCTCGAAAGGATTTGATGAGGAAGAAGCAGATGATGAGGTTTTAGTACTAAAAGTACTGTCTATTTGAAATTCTTTGTTGTCTTTGTATAAAGATTGTTTGAATTTTTCAAATGGATCGTCAATTTTGGATTAAATAATTAATGAGAAAATAAAGCATTATTTTATTACGTAATTAATGAACGACCTAAGTGGCAGTTTTTGATGTAATTTGAATTTTCTTAATCCAAAACTGTGTAAAACTTATCTTTTTTGATCATCAAAACCTTTTCTGAATTTATATTTTCTGTGCATCTTTCCATGTATTCTTTATCTACCTCAATAATTTTTTCATCAAGTTTTGCAAACGATGTAGAGCTTTAACATGCAAGTACATTATAACGTAGATGCTTTATTCAGGTACTTTAAATTAATCTAGATTTTTTATTACAATTTTCACGTAGAAAGAGCCTTTATTTAAAAAGATAAGTACATGCCCGAATGGCACAAGTCGGTTAATCGATCAGAAATCCTGCACCAAACTGGTATGACTTTGGCATGGTGCTGGATTTAAATCAAATCAGGTCAGAGTTATGTCGGCTTCGAGCCTGATTTATATTCTATTAACCGACTTGTGCTATTCGGGATACTTATTAGCAGCTATGTAAAATCTTGACTTAAAGTTGCTCTTGATCTTGACTTTAAGAAAACACGAAATGCATTCTGTTTACGAGTCAAACTTCTAATTTCTAGGTAAACAAATCATTTTCAACCAAGTTGAAAAAAAATCTGATAAAAATCAAATTCCGATAAAATGTGATTGATCGTGTTAATGTTACTATCAATTTATGAAAAAAGGCAGAACCTTCAAGTGTCATCAATATATTTGTCAAATTTCTGTGTCAGTTCGTTCGTGTCTTTTGAGTGTTTAGGGTCTAAAAACTAAAGTTTAAGAAAAAAATGAAATTAATACAAATTTTATTCATTTTTGCTGCAATTGGAGGTGCTTTATTAAAAAGTTAAAAAAAATGTGAATCAAAAAAATAATTTCCAATTATTTTATAGTGTCATTACAACAATCAACTCGATGCTTTTCATGCACAAATTGTGGAGGATCCGATTTTGCTAGATCAAATTGTCAAACAGGAGAAGACGACGACGAAAATGTTGGTCCACCAACACCTCCAACTTCTCCATTAGGATTTTCAGCTAAAAATGTATCACTTGATGGATTCTTTCCAGTTGCTTCAATGAACAATACAAACAATTCAAGTACAGCAACAACAGCAATAGTTCAAAACACAAACGCTCAATTTTCATGCTTTACAGTGATCCTCGATGGTAAGCAGTTTAAAGTGTTTTGAAAAACCTTTTTCATTTCATCATCTCAGCATTGTTTGAGAATTGCTAAGCTAGTGTTATCAAGTAGAGTGTGAACTAGTGGGAAACTACACTATTTGTGAGCTCAAGTAGCTTAATAATGAAATGATGATGATGATCTTTAACTCCTTGCTGGGAGAGGTGCAGCCATGGGAAATGTTGACTAGATAGTCAACAGAGATTTAGTCAGGGGTCGGGGAACATTAAGTTAGAGCTCTTAATTAAGCTTGATCAACAACTAGTTGTTGAGGGGAACTAGGGAAGGCAACAATCATCATCATGGGCCTAGCCTCAGGTTTTCTATATTTTGAAGTTATTTACCCCGTAAGGCACACGCTGGCGTGACGCCAGCCTGGGGACAGCGTCAACCTGGCACGGATCAATCGGTGCCGGTGTGAATTTAGCACCGTGCCGGCAACGTGATAGTCTTCATACTGGATTTTCGGCCATTTTCTACATACACAGCACCGGCGTTGATGTTTTTTCACACCGGTACGAATTTGGCTCAGTTTCGGTGTGAAGCTGGCACCGTTCCAGCTATGAGCAGCATCAATGCTGTTTTTGTATTGTGTACATCGGCATGCTTTATATTTCACGCCAGCACGAATTCGGTACCAGTAAAAAAATTGCGCTGTATTTGCGCCAAATTATTTACAAAAAACAATTGAAATTTAACAAAAATAATTTTTCTTTATTGGTTTTATTTCAAAATATCAAAAGTTGCAAATAACAAATTAACCTGATTTATGTTTTTCAGGTAGTTTCTGAATTATTTGTTTCTTCGTAGGAATCCAGTGATTCCTTTGATACCAAAACCATGTTTCCTTGTTGTATATGCTGGGTTTGTCTTGGCGAAAACGAATCGATCATGTGATGAGTTCCATTGTTACTTGAGTCAAGCAATTGTGTTTCCGAGAATATATCCTAAATAAAGTAAAAAAAAATGGAATAATCAAGCGATAGTCTTAAAATTTTCGAAATATTATATCTCCCCATTGTCAGCTTACTTTATATTATGCACCAATAAATAAATTTACTCACATCATTAAAATTGTTACTATAACTATAGACTTGCTGGATTATCTTAGGTATGTGATGATTGAGACTTAAGCAAGTTGTATATGACTGATATGATTTGACGTCCAAACAGTCCGAAAATCCAGAAAAGATATCTAAAATTAAAAAAAAATATATTTAACTTTTCGTCCACACTTGTTCAATAGTCTCACGGCACTAATGTGGCACGGATCAAGAACAACGCCAAAAGGACGCTGCAAAAAATTTAATTTTTTCAAATGAAAAAAATCCACTTAATTAAAACCAAAACTTACTTAATTGAACAGCAAATGGAACCAAAAAAGGTTAAAAATATGGGTTGACGTCCAAACGGTCCGAAATTTTAGTAGCTGAATTAGAAATGTTGTTTTTAAAAAGCACTTATATTTTTTCAATTAATTGGCACTTTATTTTCGTGTCAAAAAATAATAAAAAAGTTCATTCCGGCATGAACTTGTCACAATTTTTAAAACACGCCGGTGCCATACCAAAATCATGCCAGCGCGGTGTTGGATTGAATCCGCAGCACAAATTTGATTTGGTGCTTGGCGTGCTCCATATTGACACCGCTTTTCGGCGCACTGTGCTTTCCGGGTACATTGACTTAGTTCGTATTGATTAAGCCTTTGTGCTCCCAAATGAAGGGAACAGGGAGCTTGATTGGCTACGATCTTCCAAACCAAAAATTAAAATTTTCTGCAACTTTGTAATGCTCAATTTTTCTTTTCATCTTTAGTTGCTGGAACATTACAGACAGATCGTGGATGTATTGCAAGAGGAGAAACAACATGCAATACTGTTAATAGAAATCATAGAATTGAGAATTGCTTCATATGTGATTCTGATTTCTGCAACAGTGGAAGTGGTCAATTAGTGTACTCATTAATCCTTGTTGCTGCTTTTTATTTAGTTTGGAATATTTTATCATAATTAGTGAACATTTATGAAATACCAAAAAAAGAGAGAGTTTGTAAATTATTGTTAAATAATTAAAATTTCCATAGTATTTTGTGGATTTGTTTGTGGCCACTCGAAAGTATTTCTGCAAAAAAAATTATAAATTTACATCAAATTAAGCCAACATCAATCAATTGTATTTATAAAATAATGTTATGTGATACTGATTTATTTTGAAATTTTAATCATGTGCACTATTGCGATAATAAAATATAATTTCAAATGAATAAATTTTTGTCGATATTTTCAGCACACACAAAAAAAAGAAGAGAATGTTGATAGAGAATATTCGTAGAAATGATGGATGGGTTTGGAATGTTATCGATAAAATGTATCAAATTTTAAATTAAATTGAGCATTGGATTTGATTTATTTTCGTTGTTATTTATATGTTTTTGAAGCTACAAGAATTTAGTATGTAGCAATTAATTTCTGTTTTGTATTTTTAATTGAGAACAATTTTTATTTTTGATTGGATTCAAAAAATGTGAATATGAGCAATCAGGAATGGAATAAATAAGAGGATTTAAAATATAGATATTTTATTTTATTAGTGCTATCAATTAAAAACAAAATAATATTTTCAGATAAATTCGGATTTACTTTGTTGCTCTTATTGCAGCACAAATTTAATTATTTGGGATAGAGTTGACTAGTGTAAATTTTATATTTATGAATTTTGGTTTAGTTTTACAGTAAACTTTTACTGGAATGCTAGGGTTAGAATGTAAAATGTCAAATTAGATCACACATATATGACCAACATCTAGACAGCAATGTTATCAAAGAAGTGGTTCGGATCCCACTGTAAAATATAAGTCGGGGATTGAGTGCTATAGTTTGGCGTTTTCTCACTCCTTTAAACCACCACTAGCTGTGAATCACTCAAGCGCTCTTGTGGATCAGAATTGGTCTGCATTGGCAAAGTTTTTTAATTCAAAAGAAGGATTTTCGGAATAACATTAGCACCTCATTCTAGAATTGAACTGCAAAATAAACTGATAGATACCGCAGGTAGCTCCAAAAATCGACCCCTAGTGTTGTAGTTAAACTGGTTCTCAATCGAAATAGTTAAAATGTTATCAAAATAGCAGCTCATTTATAATTTCAGATTACTAAAGGCCTTACCATATCTTTTGCAGTTAAGAATAAGTTCGTTTTGACAATCGATGAAACGAGAATTTCTCGAGGCAAAGCTATCAATTTCGACCTGATCTTGTTCAATGTGCAGTTCAAAGAAAAAAATACATAATTTTTAACATAAAAGGATTTGAACTGAAGAACTTCTACTTCAAATTACTACACCAAAAACGTTGGCATGCCAATTTCACCACAAAGTCACTTAAATGCTCCACATGCACCTTGTTGCAATTTGACGTACATCATTTGAAAACAAATCCTGTCAGATGCCGCTCCTCTATAACAATGACTAAACATCATTAAAAATCCAATATCAAAAAATTACAAAACTACTTTTAAATCACAAATGTATTTGTCTAGCTCAAATTCAATACAACATTACATGCCATCAATTTTAAAACCGTCAATCACGAACTAATGATAAAATTTCCTAAAGGCATCAATCACCAATCTAAATTCGTAACAAAAAATGTTTTAATGTAAACACGTAAATTCTATAGAATTAATTATTTGTTAAGCTAGGAATGTAAATGAATCAATGTTTTTGTGCGAAAACTATTCATCATACGAATTAGATAAGATTAGAAAATACAAAATTTATTAGGTAATGAAAATGTCAAGGTATGCGGAAGCGCGTGAGATGAAAATTAAGTTGAAACTTAATTGAATTCTGAAAATGTCTAAATTAGTCATTTAAATTGGTTTAGATCCGTTCGATTTTACATTTTTGTAGATTATTATTGTGTGGTATCTGAGCAGTGTGAATTTTAGTGAATTGAGTCATATGAAGAAGATTCAGCCAATGCGAGAGGAAGGCTATTGTGGCTGAATGTATAGGCAGTTGATCAAATATTTGCGATCCTTAAATTACTTGAGTTCGATTCCTACCAAAGGCTCATCTCTTTATAATTAATCTCAACGTGTATCTAGTTTGGAGAGAACTAGAAAGACCCAACAATGATGAACTTACAACCTCAATTTTATAGTGTGATCCTTCAACAAAGTCAAAAGTTAATTACAAATCAGATCAGAAAATAAAATTTATCAACAGTTCCAATCGCATCGCAAAACTTAAAAACACCACTTCGATAGCAAAACTTTTAAATGCTTCTGTAGTTTGTTGAAGAAACTAATCATTAATAAAAGTAAAGCTGATAAAAAGTAAGCGGAGACAATTAATTTGCTTAATTATTTACATAACGACATTTAATGACAATTTATGATGTTGAATAATGTTTGTGATTTCAATTCAGAAACTTTTTTTTTGGAATTGTTGTGAACTTTGTGCTGGTTTGAACTATGATAATTGAAGATATTATGTAGATTTGTCATGCTTTAACCCGAATAGCACAAGACGAATAATAAAGACGAAATCCTTTGCTAGGATGACTTGGTAACGTCTTCCTGGCATAGGATTTTGTCTCGATTATTTAACTTGTGGTATTTGGGATTTTCTGGATTTCTTTCTTGATGTTTTTGGATCTATCTAGGGTTTTTGACAACATTTTCATAAAATTCTTCGTTTAAGCTTGATTAAGATATTTTGGTTAATTTTAAAGTCAATTTCAAAGAAAATTTGAAGTCTAGAAAATCTAGTTTAAGATTCCGTACAAGCTATTTTAAGATTCCTGTAAAATATCTTATAAAATGTGAGTTTAACGGTGTGGATGCACTATTAATAATCCTCGAAACTTTATAATCAATTTTCTCTTTCCATTACTACACAAACTTCTCTTATTATACTATAATTAACTTTTTCTCTCGTTCGAGAACTGAACAAATTACAAAGTTACAATTTTTTCTCTTCATAAATTTTTTAATTCGCGGGGCTGTTTTGCAATTTTTTTTCATGCACAACAATTCTTACTTGACGTAAACTTTTAATTAATTTTTTTTTCTGTTCCCTTCTCCTCCTTCATTATGGTTGGAGCGTAAACTTTCTCTCTGTATAAAATAAATTTTGCATGCAAATATGAGTTCTGAACCTGAATTGAGATTTTTTTTTTCCTTGCTGGTTTCTTATTGTTTTTGTGCTCCCTTGTAAACTTAAATTAATTAGAGATTGTTGCTGCGAGTAATTGGAACTTTCTTCATCTCTACTAATAATCTCTTTTATAATTTTCAACTTTTCTCTTTTGCCTTTGTTTATGGAAAATGAATAAAAAAATATGCAGTGACAATTGTTGGGTTTTAAATTCGGGAAAGGTGCATTAAGCGCAATTTTTATGGGATTACAAGGATTGCAGATCATTTGCTGACTTATTTTTACAAGTTGTGGCTTTATTTCAGTTCTGAAACTCTCAAAGTTGGTACTTAATTGTCAATGACGCCATGCTTAGACATGATGATGTCATAACGGCCTCAGAATTGCAAGTTGGTACTTATCGGCTTAAAATCGGCTAAATTGAAATTCTGAGCTTCCTATAGCTACATGCTGACAAAATATTACACAGAATCATAGTAAAGCATGTAAAGTTCAATTTAAATACTTGAAATGGGTGTCAAATGGCTTTTTTCTATCAAAAAAATCAAAAATTGAGTTAAGCCGAAAAAATCGGCTTCGATCTCTGGTTTATTCCTTCACGACTACTTAAACTCAAGGGGAATAAAACATGATGGACAAAAGGTTTGATTGTAAATTTTAAATATAGAAATGTCCTAAGGATTTTTGATGCATTTTCCTTCTTAATCTTACTCAAAAAAAAATTCCATCATGTTGTTTTCCCCTTAGCTGAACAGGACTGATGCTCAAAGGTGTGCTTTGATTCGGTCATAAAATGCAATCGTGCTTTGAGCTTCTGTCTTAACCTTTTTTTTTGCAGCTATAAGATTCCTTTTGTCAAGAAATTTACGTTTGTAAAATGGATAGTTTGATGTCTTTACAGATAATTGTGATTCGTAGTGGTACTCTGAGCAGTTGCTTTTATTGTCTAATTAATTGCTTATTCTTGTTGTGCTGACTAATTTCGTAAAAGATATTATTCATGAGTAAATTCAAAAAGAACCTCTAATTTTATTATTCCTGAATAATGAGAAATCCTTCAACTACTCAAATGTCGTCGTATGATTTCATGCCTAGAAAAGTTCAGGATAAAGCTACACTTCCGAATAAATTAAGTCGTAAAAAAAAGTTCCACAAAAAAGTGTCATATAAGCAGAAATGCCTTTGGACTGTGGTAAATAAATTGATTCATTTGTAAAAAAATTGAGGTCAAGGAAAAAGTTGTTAGCCATGACGACGAAAAAAGAAAATAAGAAAAATTGACAAAATATATTGGTTAACCTCCTTATGTTGTCATTAAAACTTATTTAAGGGGCCGTTCACTTATGACGTCCAGGGGGGGGGGGGAGGGGGGTCAGCAAGAAAAGAACAATAGAAATTCCTGGAAATCCATTGTTCTTTTTTGAAAAATGACTGTTAATTTCGGACGTCATAATTGAACGGCATCTAAGTTGTTTATAAATTTGAAAGTTAAGAAGTTATTCACTTATAGATCAAAAGGATTTTAAAGGTTGTGCGATGGTCAATAGAATTTTATGGATATTTAAAAGCTAATAAAACAAAATAGGAACTATCAAAAATTAAAAAATTCTATTCCTTAATAAACGTGCGTTAACCCGTTAATTACGGAATTTTTTTGGGACATTAGAGTGTATTTATTTGATGGATTGAAGTATAAAAATAAGTTTGACGAAGAGTTTGGCTCAATTTAATGCACAGATTTAATAAAATTAACAAAATTCTTCCGTAACATATATGTTACGCTAGGATTTTGCAAGCAAAAATTTTTTTCTTCCAAAAAATTTAATTCCTTTGTTTTTCCTTTTTCTTTAGTATTTGTGAATAATAGCATAATTTATTATTAGTTTTATGCTGTTTTACTCCAAAAGAAGTCAAATTTGAATACTGTAATGCACATAATAACGAAAAAACCTTAATTTATTTACACTTTTAATATATGTCATATCTTTCAAATGAAACATTTTTCGGCGTTCTGAACTCACTTAGCTCGTTATTTTCACTCTATTTCATTAGTTATTCCCTTATGAAACTCTTCAAATAATTCCAAATGATAAAAAAGTCTATTTTAAATTTTCTTTTAATTTTTCAATGCAAATTTTTTCAAACATCAAAAAATCCTCTTTAAAGCACTCATACTAATATTTTTGCCACTGAATCACTTATTTTTATCATAATTTAGCTATACACAAAATAATTTGACGTACTTCAAAGCCAAATCGGTTTAATTAATTAAATTATATTTTAAATTAAAATCGCTAAAATATTTGCAAAATACTAGCGTTACACATATGTAACGGGCAATTTATATCGTATTTTCCTAGCGTTACATATATGTTACATTTATTATCGTCACATAG